AATAGTAGACAACCCAAGGTATTGCAAACAGGGTATGTCCAGTCTTTTTTAGTAGCCACTTAGTCACAAACACTGGCCAAAATTGGCGTTTTTTTGCATTTTTCACACAAACAGATACTAACGCTAACTTTGGCCAGTGGTTGTGACCAAATGGCTACTAAAAAAGACTGGACATACCCCATTTGCAATACCTTGGGTTGTCTACTATTGCAAATGGTATGCCATTATGGGTGTAAATTTCATTCCCGGGCTACTATACAGTCTTAAAGGCAACATAACCAATCTGGCGAATTTCAATTTCAAATGTAACGTGCTATATTTGACACTGTAACTTCCCAAAACGCCATAAAACCTGTACATAGGGGGTACTGTTTTACACGTGAGACTTTGCTGAATACAAATATGTGTATTTTATTGCAGTAAAAGCAAACAGTATTATGACATTGACAGTTAAAATGTCATGTAGAACTAAAAAAATAAAAAAAAATCTTATTTTCTCCCATTTTTTTCATATTAAATTATGTTTCATAGCTAAATATTTGATATTAAATGAAAGCCCTGTTTCCCCTGAATAAAATGATATATAATAAGGGTGGGTGCATTTACTATGAAAGAGGTGTATTACGGCTGGACAGACATGTAGCGCAAATGTCAGGTTTTGTTTACATTTTGTTTTGTTCACAATGTGTACATTTGGCTCCGTCCTTAAGGGGTTAACCTGCTAAACAATAACAACATGTACAATGTGTGAAGGGTCCTACACCCACATGAAAGGGACTACACATGCTATTCCTCCACACACAACACTTATACAAGAATAGACAGATTCCATGTTCAAAGCCAACACTTAGACCAGGTAATGGACTGCACGATATGACAGCTTACATGGCCAGATCATGCTCCGCTAACGCTAACCTTGAAAGTCAACTACGATTACAAACACAAAAACCCGTGGAGGCTCAATGAGTCTCTACTATCAGACATATCTTTCGCAACCCAAGTAGAGGAGTCCATTAAGGAATTTTTCATGCTCAACGAATCCGATGACATGCCAACAAGTACCTTGTGGCAGGCACACAAGGCAGTTATAAGAGGACTTCTAATGAGACGAGCAGCACACATAAAACAAACAAACTGAGAGCAATGGATGGCCTAGAATAAACAATTAGCAGACCTAACATGGGAGAATAAAACAAACCCGACGACAACAACACAGAACAGCATCAATGAAATTGCGAACAAAATAAAACTACACACAATACAGAGAGTGGGATTCAATCTCCACAAACCTAAAGCAACATACTACACACAGGAGAACAGAGCCAGCAAAATACTAGCAGAACGATTAAAACAAGTTGAAACAAGAAACAAAATTCCATATATATACTCCAGCACCAACACGAAGGTAATATCACCAGTAGAAATTAGTAACGCGTTTGCAAACTGCTATGGCAACTTATACAACTTAGCACACTCCAAACAAGTACACACACCAACGGACCAAGACATAAAGACTTATCTAAATGAGACCTCCCTCCCCACGCTCACCCAAGACCAAACTACTCTATTACAAGAGCCAGTCACACCCAAGGAAGTGGAAGACACCATACACACTTTGCCAAAGAATAAAATCACCAGGCCCTGATTGCTTTATATATCTATACTATAAAAAAAATATGCCAGTTACCTAGCCCCCCCACTAGCGTCCCTATTCAATACTGCCACAAAGGAAAAAAACACTACCAAAAGAACTGTTATTAGCACACCTCATCACACTTCCTAAGCCGGGTAAACCACCAACTCACTGCCCCAACTTTAGACCAATCTCACTCCTAAACACAGACGCTAAATTATACGCAAAAATCTACGCCCGCAGGCTAAGCTCAATACTCTCAACACTAATACATGATGATCAGGTGGGATTCATAGCGGGAAGACAGGGGGCAGACAATACCAGGAAAATCCTGGACTTAATACACAGCATACGGAGAAAAGGATCAAGTGGCCTTCTCATGTCACTAGATGCGGAAAAGGCCTTTGACAGACTTAATTGGCACTTCCTACAGGCCGTCCTAAAGAAATTTGGCTTCCCCTCTCAATTCATTGACACAGTAGAGGCTCTGTACAGTTACCCAGCAGCTCGAGTCATCAATGCGGGATTCTGCTCGGATAGATTCACAATATCCAACGGCTCCCGTCAGGTATGCCCCCAGTTCCCACTGCTGTATGTCCTGGCCATGGAGCCTCTGGCATCCACGGGATACAACTAAACCAAAGGGAATACAAGCTTAGTATTTTCGCAGATGATGTATTCCTAACCCTAACACAACCACACATCTCCCTGCCTAACCTCATGCATCACATTACATCATATGGCCATGTCTCATATTACAAATTGAATGTCACTAAAACACAAGCGCTAAGCATAAATATAAATAAAACCCAATTGGATAATCTTAAAGGCACATTCCCCCTAGACTGGAGAGAGGACTACCTAACCTATTTTGGCATCAAAATGACTAAAAACTCAGCCTCCCTGTTCAAAACTAACTACCAACCTCTATTAACTGCATTTAAAACAACACTAGAGACGTGGTAGAGGACATACCTGTCATGGGTGGGACGCATAGCAGCCATAAAAATGTCCCTACTACCGAAATTACAATACCTGTACAGAACACTGCAAATCCCTCTACCGGAGACCTACCTTAAGACCCTAACAAAAATACTAACCAACTTCACATGGCAGAACAAAAAACCCAGAGTAGCAACTAAATTACCACAGAAACCATTGCAGCAGGGGGGACTGGGACTCCCAGACTTGACTGCATACTACAGAGCAGCAGCATTAACTGTAGTACCACAACTAAAGAGGCACCCCTCATCACCCCAATGGCTGGAAATAGAGAACAGCTGGACACAACCCTTAACATTGCACACGCTCTTTTGGACCCCCAAAGCACACAGAAAAGACACAACCCAACTTCTACCCACCACACAACACATATTACAACATTGGGACTCTGCAAAACACCTGATGGTACATTATCTACCACTGCCAAGAACAGCTCCCATAGGAGCTCTAGAATCTATCATACAGACCCTGAATTTACAACCATGGCTGCAGGGAGGGATCCATGAGATAGAACAATTGTACAATGATGAGGGCTTAAAAACCTTCGCAGATATACAACGAGAATTCAACCTACCACATAGATTGACATTTGCATACCTACAAATCAAATCCTACCTAGCAAAGAATGTACCCAGCACGAGAGATAGTGACACAACACCACAAATGTCCAAATTTGAGCTGATCTGCTCGCATAAAAAACACACCCCATAAAACTATTATCTACAACCTATAAAACGCTGATCCTGGGGTTGGCTCAGGACCAAGAGAAGGACACACACATCCAATTGTGGCACAGGGAATTAGGGAGAGTCATACCACTAGACAAGTGGTCCCAAGCATACTCTTCACATAGCGGGGTAACCTCATGCGCCACGCATATTGAAATGCAATGCAAATTAATATACCGCTGGTATCTAGTCCCATCCAGGGTTCACCAGATTTGGCACAATTTTCAGATAGGTGCTGGAGATGTGGGTATGCCCCTGGCAACATGCAGCACATCTGGTGGACTTGCCCTATCCTAACACAGTACTGGCAGGTAGTACAAGACATCATAACCAAAGTCACACAAATGCAAATAACACTAACAGAGCTATGCATCCTATTTATCCCACCAGAACCTCTCCACAAAGACATGTGGGCAGCAATCTTCCACATACTAATCTCAGCGGCCATAAATATAGCCAGATGTTGGAAAAAAAAAAACAGCCCCCTCGGCTGTTGCCCTAATCAATCAAATAAAACTTAACTGGGCCTATGCAAACCAATATGGTATAAAGAAACACATGAGATCAGCACACAAATAGTGATGTCGCGAACACGAAATTTTCGGTTCGCGAACGGCGAACGCGAACTTCCGCAAATGTTCGCGACGCGGCGAACCGGGCGAAGCGCCATAGACTTCAATGGGCAGGCGAATTTTAAAACACACAGGGACTCTTTCTGGCCATAATAGGGATGGAAAAGTTGTTTCAAGGGGACTAATACCTGGACTGTGGCATGCCGGAGGGGGATCCATGGCAAAACTCCCATGGAAAATTACACAGTTGATGCAGAGTCTGGTTTTAATCCATAAAGGGCAGAAATCACCTAACATTCCTAAATCACAATGAATATGGATTGACACCTGACATATTGACACCTTGACATATGGATTGACACCTGTCCTCAGAGCCCCTGATGCACACGGACACAGAGCAGAATAGAGACTGGTCCCCCTACATAGGGTCACTTGGCAGATATGGATTGACACCTGTCCTAAGGATCCCTGATACACACTGACACAGAGCAGAATAGGGACTGTTCCCCCATAGGGTCACTTGGCAGATATGGATTGACACCTGTCCTAAGGATCCCTGATACACACTGACACAGAGCAGAATAGGGACTGTTCCTCCTACATAGGGTCACTTGGCAGATATGGATTGACACCTGTCCTCAGAGACCATGATACACACCGACACAGAGCAGAATAGAGACTGTTCCCCCTACATAGGGTCACTTGGCAGATATGGATTGACACCTGTCCTCAGAGCCCCTGATACACACTGACACAGAGCAGAATAGGGACTGTTCCTCCTACATAGGGTCACTTGGCAGATATGGATTGACACCTGTCCTCAGAGACCATGATACACTGACACAGAGCAGAATAGAGACTGTTCCCCTACATAGGGTCACTTGGCAGATATGGAGTGACACCTGTCCTCAGAGACCATGATACACACTGACACAGAGCAGAATAGAGACTGTTCCCCCTACATAGGGTCACTTGGCAGATATGGATTGACACCTGTCCTCAGAGACCATGATACACACTGAAACAGAGCAGAATAGAGACTGTTCCCCTTACATAGGGTCACTTGGCAGATATGGATTGACACTGTCCACAAGGACAAGCTGCAGGCTTCCTGGCAGGGCCCATACAAGGTGGTAGAGCAGGTTTGTGATACCACCTTTGTGATCGGTGCGGTCACAGGCACGGGAGGCAGGTGCATGCTCCATGTGAACATGCTCAAGCCATACCACGAGCGCACGGAAGAGGTAACCGCGATCTGTGCACCTGCCACTGAAGATTATGATAATTTGCCACTCCCAGATCTCCTAGACCTAGAGGGCCAGAGCGGAGACCTGGGAGAAGTACAGTTAGGAGAACAGTTAGACCCCCAGGAGCGAACCCAGGTCCACAGACTAATCCAGGACAAGGGGGCCACGTTTTCCAACCTATCTGGGTACAGTCCGTTAACCACTCACAAACTTGAAACCCTAGACCAGACCCCCCTTTGCCAAACCGCCTATCGCATACCCGAAGCAGTTAAAGAAAATATTCAGAAAGAAATTGAGGAAATGATGCAGTTAGGGGTGATAGAACACTCTGACAGCCCCTGGGCCTCCCCGGTAGTACTAGTACCGAAACGGGACGGCACAACCCGTTTCTGTGTAGACTACCGGAGGCTAAACGTTAAAACAACCTCAGACGCCTCATCTATGTCCAGGATAGACGAGCTCCTAGACAAAATGGCCAGAGGCCAGTACCTCACCACAATAGATCTGTGCAAGGGGTACTGGCAAATTCCATTAGCCGAGGACGCCATCCACAAGTCAGCATTTGTCACCTTGTTTGGCCTGTATCAGTTTAAGGTCATGCCATTCGGGATGAAGAATGCCCCGCTAACTTTCAGAGGATGGTAGATCGGCTACTGGATGGGTTTCAGGAGTATGCCTGCGCCTACTTGGATGATATAGCCATTTTTAGCTGCTCCTGGCCCGAACACCTGACCCACATAGGAGCCGTAATAGACCGGATTAGGGAGTCCGGACTGACCCTAAAGCCCAGTAAGTGCTATATAGGAACGTGTAAAAACCTCCCCAAGATAGTAGTATGGGCCCCAGAGTGTGAACAGGCCTTCCAACAGCTCAAGACGGCGCTCATTAAATCACCTGTACTTTCTGCTCCTGATCCAACTAAACACTTTCTCATCCATACAGACGCTTCTATGTTTGGATTGGGAGCAGTACTGAGCTAAGTCGGAGCAGATGGTGGCGAGCAACCCGGGGCTTATCTAAGCCGTAAACTTTTGCCCAGGGAAGTAGATACACTGCCATTGAAAAGGAGTGCATGGCGGTGGTGTGGGCCCTCAAAAAGCTGCAACCTTACTTGTATGGACAACTGTTTACCTTACTCACAGATCACAACAAATTTGGGGCACTGCACGTGCAATCTAATGTGCCACCAGATAGGAGTGGTGTGTTAAGTAGTACTATTCTTATCAGTTTAATCCCTGTTACGTCTCCTATCCGTTGATGTGGAGCAAGACACAGCAGCAGAAGAGGACTCAGCCGAGGAGGTTATGGAAGAGGATGGAGTAGGAGGAGTAGAGGAGGTGGCAGCAGGTCTGCCTGCAAGTCATGGCGCTGTCACCAACTCCTCTGCAGAGCCACGCATTCCATGCTTGGCAGCCATCAGCAGGTTTGCCCAATGCGCAGTGTAGGTGATATACCTGCCCTGACCATGCTTTGCAGACCAGGTATCAGTGGTCAGATGGACCCTTGCCCAAACACTGTGTGCCAGACATGCCATTATTTCCTTTTGCACAATCAAGTACAGGTTGGGGATTGCCTTTTGTGAAAAGAAATTTCGTCCGGGTACCAGTGAGTGAGTGGTGGCACTGGGCACAGTATCCACTGTGAGCCTGACACACCCGCTGGCAGACAACTAACTGCTATTCAATCTATAACAGTGAAAAAAGTTTTTTGTTTTTAAATGCAAGCTATTATGACACCAGATATGAGTAGCACTGTAAACTGGCAGAGTACACACTATAGGGCTGACACACCCGCTTTGAGACAACTAACTGCTATTCAATCTATAACAGTGAAAAAAGTTTTTTGGTTTTAAATGCACGCTATTGTGACACCAGATGTGAGTGGCAAAGTACACTGGCAGAGGTCTGCAGAGCACACGCTGAAGGAGGCCTGACACCCGCTTTAAGGACACTGACTGCTATTAGCTTACACTGAAAACTTTTTTTCTTTGTAAAAGCACGCTATAGAGACACCAGATATGAGTGGCAAAGTACACGGGCAGAGGTCTGCAGAGCACACGCTGAAAGAGGCCTGACACCTAGACGCTTGCAGACAACTAACTGCTATTCAATCTATTACAGTGAAAAAATTTTTTTTTCTTTTTAAATGTCAAGCTTAAGCTATTGTGACACCAGATATGAGTCGTGGCACTGGGCAAATGGGCACAGTATCTACTGTGAGCCTGACACACCCGCTTTAAGGACACTGACTGCTATTCAATCTATAACAGTGAAAAAAGTTTTTGTTTTTAAATGCAAGCTATTGTGACACCAGTGAGTGAGTGGTGGCACTGGGCAAGTGGGGACAGTATATGCTGTGAGCCTGACACACAGGCTGGCAGGCAGGCAACTGCAATTACATTACACAGAAAAAAAAAAGCAGACTGATGTTCTAGCCATAAAAAGGGCTTTTTGGGGTGCTGTCCTTACAGCAGAGATCAGATGAGTCCTTCAGGACTGTAGTGGACACTGTATACCCTAACCTAGCTATGCATTTCCCTATCTAATCAGCAGCAGCTGCACTTTCCCTCCTCTCACTAAGCATGCAGCTTGAGAATGAATCTAAAATGGATGCTGTCCAGGAGGTGGGAGGGTCTGGGAGGGAGGGTCTGCTGCTAATTGGCTGGAATGTGTCTGCTGACTGTGAGGTACAGGGTCAAAGTTTACTCAATATTGACGAATAGGGGGCAGATCGAACCGCGCATGTGTTCGCCGTCCGCGGCGGACGCGAACACGCTATGTTCACCGGCGAACCGTTCGGTGCATCACTACACACAAAATGTGGAATGAGTATGTAGACCACGAGTCTAATGCAGACAAGGTAAATACGAGAAACTATGAATCAAATAAATCTCTCTCACCAAGTTATACCGCCCTTCCCCCACTCTCCCCTGACACTTCCCTCCCTCCTATCCTAGATTTTAGCTTAAAATGGCACAGTGCAGGCAACTATGATAAAATCCTTATGTTCTCTGCAAGACTTGACTTGTATTGTATGCTGTACCATAAAAAATCTTATGCATCCATCTACCCACGTAACCACGAATATACCTAAGAATGTATGCATACAATATGTCTTGACAAACGTTTTTGTTGAAAGCAAATGTAACATGAAGTGAAACGCACATGTACTGCCCAATAAAAAAAAAAAAAAAAAAAAAAGCGGCCAGTAGAGTCGAACGGAGGGCCTGCAGTATTTCATGAAACTTCCTCTCTGAGGCAGGTAAGTCAGACAGACAGTTGGGAGAGGATCTCGAACTAAGTGACTGTGTCCACTGACATAGGCACCATCTTGATCTCCATGTCCCTTGTCTTTCCTCATTGCACTTGCTGTTTTGGGTTCCCAAACCCTTTAGGGTGTTTTAGAGGCATGGATTTACTTCACTATCTCTTAATGCACAGTCAGCCATTGTTCGGCGTCTGTACTTGTGACAAAAATGATTTTATTTAGTTGCTTTGGCCTAGGTTGACATGAAGCTAATGAGAAATCTGTCTGCTCGCATCAATGTTGAGGACGTTTACTCTTGCATACAAAAGAAAAACGCAAAGCCAACTACACTTAGCAGAGTATTGTGGAGATACCCCAGATATGCCCCTCATTAACCCTCTGAAGGCATCTGGACCAAAATGATCCTCTGCTGTAAGCACAGTTGGCCACTGTATTTTTTATGGTTATGTATTCGCTAAACCTATACAACCAAATGCTAAACCTGAGCTTAGTTATAGCTAAACCGTTATTTAACCAATGTTAAAAAGCAATGTAAAGTATTTCATGAACATTGCCAAGGGGCTGTCTTAGAGTTACAACGATTTTTACAAATTGCTCCAGTTTTAAACCACTCCTAGACTAGAGAGTAAACTCCAGGAGTGCTATAAACCATTGCCTTAGCAATGATGCAAAGTTTTGATGGTGCTTAGCAAAACGTTTATTAAATTGTAATTATTTAGAAATTACCCAATAATACATTTTTCAGGAAATGCTAAAAGTGAATGAATTTCTGCTAAATTTGTGATATTTCAGATAACTACAATGCAGGTATAATTTAAATTCACAAATTTAAATTGGGCAGATAATCAGGGCCGGTGCAAGCATTTTTGGTGCTTTTGGAGACAACAAATTTGCCACCCCATATGCTTCACCCACTCATGCAGACTAACATACACGCTGACTCAAGTAGACACACACTTACCATGCAAAATGACACACACGCACTAAGCCATGTAGACTGACGCGCACAGACTCATATACACATACAGATACACACATACAGACTCACTGACCCATGCAGACACACACACTGACCCATGCATACACACACATATAGACACATTGAACCATGCAGGTGTCACAGGTGTTGGTACAGAAACCGGGACCCCTGAGTGACTGATGAGAAGTTGGGAGTCTTCAGCGTGGAAGTGGATTTATCAGGGCCTGGTGCAGGGTAACCACATGCCCCCTGGTGTTGAGCACCAGTGTATGTGCAGCCACATACCAGGTCCCTGATACAGCTACTGTGGATCCCAAGAGCTAGGAGATATGCAAACCTCCCAGAAGCTGAATAGGGAGGCTCTGCAGCTGGAATACAGAAAACAAGGCAAGGCTAGGATAGTCACCAAACATGAAAACAAGACAGAACTAGTAGAACCCAGAACCAGAGAAGGAAAGTAAGCTAAACCCAGAACATGTACACAATACATTAGGGAAACAGACATAACAAGGGCAGGACAGGACTGTACATGGACTGGGAATGCAAACTAAAACAAGACAAGATATGATAGGCAAAACAAGAGGAGAAATAATTAAGTACTATATATGAAAATCATGGGGATTTAGTCACATTTTATGATCATACATTGCATAAGCCTGCCACAACGCCAATGTACCCCATATCTGGCAGGTCCTACTCTGCCTAATGTATGCTAAAAGAAGCATAAGAAACACATATAGCACTTATCTGCAAGAAAGAGCAGAGGACATGAAACCACTGAAGCAAAAGGAATCATTGAAAAGGAACGGGTGTGGCAACATAAAACAAAGATTTAAAG